TATTAATCTTGTATATAGATAATATATATAGAATGTTCATAAATTTCTTTTAAGAAATTTTTCTTAATTTTGAATTTAAGGATAGATATACGGTATGTAATTGTAATTGTTTTGTATTACATATGATTCTTTTCACTGAAATAGCCAGAAAGCAAGGGATTTTAAAGTAAAGAGGAAAGAAGAACGAAAATTTTAATAGAATTGGTTTATTTGAGTTATGCATTAGAACGGAGTTGACATGGAATAAAGTATAGGAAGGCCAGAAATTATCTGGCATAAAGCACTAAGTAACGTTAATAAAGGGGCACACACGAAATAAGCATTAAATTAGTAAATAATAGGCGATACTATTGAAAGCGATAGTAAGCGATATAGTAGTCAATTTTCTATTCAATGCTTTATCATATTCTGTAATATTCACAATACTTTTAAAAATATTAATAGGACATTTTAATTTTTTTTTAAATGTTTTGTATTTTTATTGAAATGTTAACAATTAATTTATTACATTTTTAATTTTAAATTTTAATCGCGTTAGCATTTGCCTAAGATCAATCCGCTTTTCTAATTAATTTTAATATTTTTACATTGAATAAGCAGAGCAATTCCAGTATAACATTTTCAATATTAATGTTTTGATTGCTAGCAGTTACAACACTAGAAATTATGAAATAATAAAATTAATATGCATATTTATAATATATAATCAAATTAGAATAATTTAAATAAATAAATTATGTAAATTAACCATATATAATTTTGTTATTTCAGTTTTTTTTTAATTAATTTGCATTAAAAATTTTTTTTTTGTTTTAAATTATTAAAATTATTCTATATTAAATCAATATGTTTTAAATTTAACTTATTACAATAAATTATTGAAATTTTGTGCATCATATAAGTACATATATATATATATTTATATATATGTACAGATATATGTCTCTTATTATCCATATAAGATATAAAATAATATGTGAATTCAATTAACCTAAATCTATCTACCCATATGCAATTAATAATATTATTATTTATAACTAAAAGTTAAAATAATAATATACATAAAAATTTTAATTAAGTTTTTTTTTTAATTATTATTATTCCTCAAAATTTGGCATAAGTTTAACAATTCAAATTTCTCAAAATTCTATTTAATTGTAAATTCAAAAATAAATTATATTAAAATTTTAAATACATACATTTATGTTAAAACTATTATACGTATTTTTATTTATATGAAAATGTTAAATACGGAATTTGCATAAAACAGGATGTTTCCAATGTAAAGGGTATTATACTATTATATGGATACCTTATAGGATCTAACAAACTGACATAACATTAATTAATTATTTAGAATAAAACAGATTATTGTAAGCTTCTATTTAAATTGCGGCTAATATTAAAAATCGCTAATATCTCTGAACAATCAATTCATACCAAATTTCTATTCTAATATTCGGGAATTTTAAGTAGTTAGGTAACTGTAATTAAGTTTTGCATTGAAAATAGCATAACATTCTTTACACTATAGCACTCTGTAAATTTGAGTATTATGTATAATGCACAGCAAGAGGTTTTTATTTAAAAAAAAAAAACAATCCTTATTTATGTATTAATATTTGTTTACATATATACACATATACGTACGTGAATACATTAATTTTATAAATGAATAATTTTAATCCTTAAAATTAAATTCTAAAATAACATTATTCGCCTATAATTCCATACATTTCTGTTATATTTATAGTTTATTTTTACCGACCGTATTGTGTAAACAATAGGTAGGTTATGTGATGGCAACAAATTTTGCATATCGAGTTTTCGGTGGGAACGTACTTCTCCATAGTAGGGAAGTGTAAATAAACTATTTTTAGCAACCTGTCGGTCTGTCGGTCTGTCGGTCTGTCGGTCTGTCCGTCTGTCGGTCTGTGTGTGCACGCGTGTGTCTCAAGTTCGGCTGAACCGATTTTGATGAAATTTTATATGTAAGTTTGTTTCCACCATGGCACGGATCGATCAACTTTTGGTATATATCAGGCCTCGGGAACTGCACTTTTTAGCGGGCCTGTTTTACATTTTGGAACATTTTGAAGAAAGTATTCAACCGATTTACTTGAAATTTTATATATAAGCTCAGGTCGACTATCCGCAAAAATTCGTATGTTTTGGAAGAAATCAGGCATCGGCAACTAGACGTTTACTACGGACCAAATACACATTTTTGTGTATATAAAGAGAAATAATCAACCGATTTCATTGAAATTTAATATATGAACTCCTCGTATTAAAACAATGAACATATAAATTTTTTGGAAAGATCAGGGCTCGAAAACGGATTTGCGGGCCGATTTTACATTTTTCACCATTTTGAAGAAAGTATTCAACCGATTTACTTGAAATTTCATATATAAGCTTTGCTCGATCATACGCAAAAGCTCCTAACTTTTGGAAGAAATCAGGCATCAGCAACTGGGCGTTTACTACGGGCCAAATATACATTTTTGTGTATATAAAGAGAAATAATCAACCGATTTCATTGAAATTTAATATATAAATTCCCCGTATTAAAACAATGAACATGTAAATTTTTTCGAAAGATCAGGCATCGGCAACTGGACGTTTACTACGGGCCAAACATACACTTTTGTGTATATAAAGAGAAATAATCAACCGATTTCATTGAAATTTAATATATGAACTCCTCATATTAAAGCAATGAACATATAACTTTTTTGGAAAGATCAGGGCTCGAGAACTGATTTGCGGGCCGATTTTACATTTTTCACCATATCTACAGAACAAATTGATGGAATTTCTTGAAATTTGATATTTGAGTTCTGGTTGTTGCCGAAACTAACTGGCGAGCATTTCAGGGAATTCGGGTAGCACAAAGCGAAACTCTACTAAGAGCCAAATTTACATTTTTCTAAGTATGTTAACTATAAGCTTACTAATGTCCTAAAAATTGGAAAGAAGTATTTAACAGACATTTTTATAATATTCTGTAACACTTTCATTTAACTAGACAATACACAATGCGGTCGGTTATGTGCTGACCACATCAGATTTTTTTTGTATAATATACAGTGAGTTATATTATTTAATGAGGACATAATCTTTATTGTTTACCGAATCTTGGTTCTAAACGATTGCCGAATCTTAGATTAAATGCAATTTTAAGATCAAGAGGTTTTGTTTTGATTTTAATTCTTGAAATCTTGAATCAGATCTCTTAGAATAATGATCTTTTTATATGAATATGTAAGCTTTTACAATTTTTTTTGATTTTAATTTACAATAAATTTGAGTAATTCTTGAATTATTGACAAATGAAGTATAAGAGACTGAAGGCAATCTGTTAGTTAAAAATTATCGAAAGATCATATGAGTATGGCTCGATTAAATTTTATTTTATTACGATTTACTTTGAATATTTCGGATTTTAAATTCGAGAAGTTTACAACTATTCAGCAAATTTTTTAATTTTTTTTGTCTCTTTTATAAAGTGTATTTACTGTTTATTTCAATATATTCAAGAAAATTTTATTCATACATAAAACATTAATATTAAAGTATTACATACATTGTATCAAAAATCATAAATCTTAACATGTCTAAATTATTTTAAACAAAAAACGAAACAAACAAAAAAAAACCAAGAGAAATTGTAAATATACAGAGAAAACAGAAGACATTTTCATGATCAAGTGAATGCAAAAATTTCATATATGAGATAGTGTGTGGGAAAATGCATTAAATTTTCTTTTAATAGTAATCATTTTCAAATTTTATGCAAAATTAGAAATTTTAAAACACAAATCGAATAAGGAAAATTCTAAAGATGAAAATTGTTTTGTTTTCTTCTCCTTTTTGTTTTGCAACAAATTAAGATTGCTTAAGAATTTTCATAAATTTATTGTGCATATTAAAATATACGAATGAATGTACATTTGTACTTAAAGTATGCTTACATACATATATACTTATTTGAAATTTTAAATTTTATGATTAATATTGTTGACAATGTTATTTTAAATGGAAATTTTTTTTTATAAAAATATAAAAATATTTTAAAAATATGCAAAATAAAAATGCAAATAAAAGATTTATTAATTATATTTAAATTTGGTATATAAAGTTAATACCAAATTATAAATTGCATTTTATATATTTTAGTTGATATTTGGGTTATATAAATAATTAATAAAGAGTATAGAAGGTGAAATATTTCATTGACCAAGAAATTGTTTTATATTAATTGAAAAAATTATTAAAATACTGAAAATAAATATAGAGCTTAAACCGTTATCGAACTCAAACTATTTCGGTATAAGGGAAGAGATATGGGAGTCTAGTCCCCGATGGGTTTACTTGGTCAAAGTTTACCACTCGCACATTAAATGCCAAAATTTCGAACATTAAAATTATGCCCGAGTTTTCCACAAAATAGATCCTTTAAGTTATAAATTTTCGTACAAAACCATTTGAAAATTTCCTCAAACTAGTACATTAAGGTAATGTACTCACGCATTATGTGAGTGGTAACAGTGCCTAAACAATAACCTCTAATAAATTTTCGCAAATTTCCTTTTCTGTCTTTTTGCAACTTTTTTTTTTGTTCAAGCTCCCATAGTAACAAAACTGGGATATCTTAATCTTACCTTATCTATTTGATATTAAAATTTCATTTTTATTTAGCTAGACATTTAGCTCAGTCACAAATTCTTTTTACAAATAAGGGAATTCCATCCGTCTTTTTCAAATCTTCACTCATACATAAAATTTGAACTACATAATATTTTTATGTTTGATTTACAATTTGGAAGTAGAACTACTCTAAAAGACACTTTGTTTTCAAGTTGTCAAATACAATTTTCATTTTACATAAGATTTTTGAATACAAAATTTTTTTTAATTTAATATTTTTCTAGAGCAAATAAAATTTTACAAATATATTCAAAACTAATCGAAATAATTTTTTTTCCTATTTCCAGTTAAATTAATGAACTAACTAAACAGTAGAATTGATAAAATTAAAAAGTGTTGAATAACAATATACAAAAAAGAAAAAGAAAGCAACAGCTCAAAAATGTTACCAAATTGCTAACGGGAAATATTTACCGTTTCGATAAAAAACAATTTTTTGGTGGATTTTTTTTTCTTCTTTCACTTAAAAAAAAGAAACCTTATAATAAAAAAAATTTAATAAATAGAAAAAAAAACCAAAACCAAGTCTAAATCAAATCAGATGATAGAAAAATTCCAATTTTCAATGAACCATACAATCGATATTTAATGTTGAATTACAAAGGCAAATACTTAACTGTTTTTGTTTGAAAAAAGAAAAAAAAATAAAATAAACACATACACAAAACATACACATTAAGAAAATAAAAACAAAAGTATGCCAATATCGATTACCGGCAACAATAACAGCAGTAACAACAACAATAATTATAACAGTATAAAAACAGAAGAAAAAAACAATCAAGCTGCCATTAAAATTGAAAAATCATCCGATCTAATAAAATTATCTGATATTATTGCAAATACAACCATTGCAGCATCAGCAATAGATATTACAACAGTTATTAATAGTTTAGATTCAAATAGTAAATTAAAAATTTTCGAAAGCAGTATGTTGACTGCTTCAACTGCCTCATCAATTTTAACATCATCATCATCACCGACACCATCAATTGCGGCAACAGCAACTAATTCATCTTCATCATCAGTATCGTCAGCAGCAGCAGCAGCAGCAGCGGCGGCTGCCGGTATAACAACGACACCAACTAGTACAGTAACAATTGGTTTTAATGATGATAATCCAACAAATATTATTAGCTCAACAACATCAAATATTAATCAGCAACAGCAAGCAACTTCAAGTAGTTCGCTTTCTAATTCAACAATTACATCATCTTCAATTATTACATCATCATCTGGTGTTGCTGGCACATCAGCGGCATCAATTCAAAATTCATCATTAGCAATAACATCAGATTGTTTTAGTTTATCATCATCACTAACACCCTCATCTTTATCAAATTCAATTGCAGCTGCAAGTGCTGCATCATCAATAGTATCATCAGTTGTATCAACTTCAATTGATACAATCGATGCAGCCGGTCAATGCAATAATATAATGGTGTCATCACCTCCATCAATACATATCGGTCTTGGTGGACAACAAAACTGTACAGCGGATGATATTTTGGCAGGTTAGTAATTTTTATTGTTTTTTTTAATAAATAAGCTTCCAGATTTTCTTTGAGAACTGCTTATTTGCACTGATTTTAAGAACAATAATTAATCTTAAGAGGGATTAAGAGTCTCTCTTAACTCTTTTATTACTACAAATCATTTTTATCTTAATATTTTGTACTGCGAAAATCATTAATTTTGCCAATTTCATTTAATATTGTTTCTTATTTTTTTTTTACCCTCTTAAGCTACAACATCAATATTAAATGGCGGTGGTAACTCAACCATGTTAACCAATACAAATTCATCCAGTATTGTTGGTCTCTTGGATATAAATAGTAAACAACAAAATCATCAACAACAGCAATCTCAATCGCCACAACCGCAATTAATGACAATGCAACAACAGCATTCACCAATTGAACAAGCAGTTGCAAAGGCAATTGGTGATTTAAATTTAAACTCATCAAATGGAACTTTAGCTAATATTTTAAATGGTACCGCTAGTGGTGGTGTTGGATTTTTAGATCATCATAGTAATCCTATTAATAGTTCAAATTTAGGTCCAATGTGGCCAACTGGAGGTGATGATAATAGTCATATGCCACCAGGCCCATTAAATGGTTTTGGTGCTAATAATTATCAAAATTTCTCAAATCAATCAATGTATAATGGCGGCGGCGGCGGTGGAGGCGGAGGTGGTAATGGTGGCTCTAGCTCCGGTATGCCCCATCATCAGCATCGTCGCGTTATGTTAAATCAACCACAACAATCTAATAGTGGAGGTGGTCTAGGTGGCGGAAGTGGTAATAGTTATTCGCATGGTCTTTCGCCAAATCGCTCAATGACTGGCAGTGGAAATACAGGTGGTAATAGTGGACAAATGCTATCAAACAGTCCATCACCACAGAATATGCAACATCATCAACATCAGCAACAACAACAGCAACAAAATATGTACCATAAAAATCCATATCCAGCTTGGGCAAATTCAGCTGCAGCAGCAGCAGCCGCAGCTGCAGCTGCAGCAGCTAATCAAAATATGCCATGGTCACCACAGCAGCAACAACAGCAACAACAACAACAGCCACCACATCAACAACATAATCAACATCCGAGTCAAAATCATATGGCAGCACAATGGAATCGTGGTAGATCTGTACCAAATTTAAACCCAATGGGTGGTGGTAATGCTGGCGGTTGTTTACCACCCATGAATCGTAAGCAAATGTCACCGAATCCACCTGGAGGTGGTGGTCCTGGACCACATTCACCTTTTGGTAATGCATCAAATGCCGGTGGAGTTGGTGGCGGCGGTGGTGGTATGCCCGGTATATCACCAAGTAAATATCGTCGTAGTACATCATTTCCTGGCAAAGGATCATCACCATCTGGTGCGGGTTATACATTAGATGTTCCAAATTTAGATGATGGCAGAGGAGATCCTTTCTTAGGCGGCAGCGGTGGCGGTAGTAGTGGTGGAAGTGGTGCTTTTCAGGTAAATCGATTATATAATATGTTGAATATACGTATATACTTATAATATATTGAACATGATATTTTACAATCAATTACTTAAGTATTAAGTAGGCTGAAGTATTTTAAGAAATATTTTTCAAATTTCATTGAACGTTTTCGTTCAATGAATTGTAAATAGGCATCTAATCATGAAAAATGTTACAATTAATGACAATATATGAAGTTGAGATCCTTGGATCATTCAAAACAAAGTGAAAGTTTTAAACTAGGAAGAAGCTTAAATATTAGTTTATGCTCAAAAAAATGGAATTAAGATTTGTGATTTTATTTTCAAATTAAAATTCTTTAAAAAAAAAATACTGTAAATAATAATTCCGGCAAAGAAGTGGAAATTTAGGTACGTTAAAGTAGTTAGAAAAACACTCTACATAGATATCAAGATAAATTGTATAGAAAACGACTGCTTTTTTTCAAATTTTAAATTGAAATAAGTATAAGGTACTCTTTAGTGAATAATAAAATTTTGTAAATTAGATCTCCATTTACTCTGGTATTTATATAATATGTATGTAGCGTGCTAGATATAAAAATGAAACATGTTTCAATTAATAAAATATGATTTAAAACATTATAATTAAAAATAAATTTTTTTAGGATAACAATAAAATAATTTTAATGTTTGAAAAACTAGTAAAGCGAAATTTTTAAAGTCTATAATAAACCAGGGGAACCCAGGGCAATTCCCATCCCTATATTAATTTTGACAGGCAGACAGCCCATAGAGAAATTTAAATTATGGTAAAATTATATTTTTCATTTTTTTCAATTTTATTATAGTTTAATTTATTATTCACAAAAATTGCTATGCCATCCCCTCTCTTTTCATTTCTGCAGTTATAAATAGTTTAGTGGTTGAAACAGCGATATAATCTTATTGCGTCAAACTCTTTGCATTTTTCCCATCCATTTGATATTTTTTCCATAGTTATTACTTTAGGAAATTTCTATTATAACATTGAATTTCTCGTTTAGATACGTTATAATCCGACTAACTTTGTCCACAGTTTTCAACTGCTTGCCTCATTGTCATCAACGCGATTGCACAATTGAGAGAAAATCTCACAAGTGGCTACAATGGATTTACTCGCATGGACAATAACCTGCCGCTGTTCTTCGAGCGGGTCTTTGTTACCATCTTGCGAATGATCAGTAGTGAATGTTATGTGACCATAAAAATTTATGTACTTGTCTGAAGCGAAATTGTCTCTGAGTCTAAACCCCTTGCATTTTAAGAATTCAGTTTTAGCATTGAATTTCTCGTTTAGATACGTTATAATCTGACTAACTTTCTTTCCTTCTAGCATCATATATGGTGCAAGAAGGAAAGTCGCATTTGAAAGACATAGTTGCAGTAAAACAATGATAAAAATCCAACTCTACTATTGATGATAAAATCTAACCAAAAAATATTAATATTTTAACTGAATTCTATATAAGTTTTCCTCAAAAATAAAGGTCAGAAATTTTATTTATAGCTAGAACAGTTTCCCTTATAAGTAATTAAAATATGAAATGGGATACATATTTTAATTTTTTATATAAGGTTAATTAAATTGATTTTCTTATGTACTTATGATTTAATTAAAGCTGAAACATTTTTTTTTGTAATAAACACGCTTATATAAGATCCCCTTATATACCATTTAAATATGGCAACTGCGCGTATAGAATTTTTATATTCTTAAAACGAATGATTAATATGCCATGGAGCAGCTTAAATGAATAATATTATGATGGCTCTGTTCTTAATAATTTTTTTTTTCAATTTTAAAAGATTTTTTATATATAAAACAAAAAAAAAAACTAATTTACGACTTCTTTTAATTTTTTTCTTTAAAATCTTAATACGAATAATAAATTCTCTCCGAAAATACAAAATAATTTATTTATTTTTGTTTTTTTGTGTTTTATTTATTTTGACATTTTCAACTAGTGTAATTCATTTATAGTATACTTTGTATTTGGTATGCGTACGGAAATGATCGACTAAATGAACAATAAAGTAAATTATGTCCATTTGCGGATAAAGTACCATTTTCATTTTTCTTTTTAATTTTTTTTGTACATTTTTATTTGTTTTTTTTTTTCTTTTGTTGTATTTTTGATGATAGACAAAGAGAGAAAAATTATAATATCATTTTTTTTTCTGCCATTTCATCAACCCAATAATTAATTCTAATTAAATAAATTCTTTTTTATGGTCATCATGAAAATATTTCATTTTTTTTTGTGCCTCTTCTCTTCCTATAATTTTTCTTTATACAGAATTTTCTCGTTTATTTGCACAGATAGTGTGTATGTGTGCTTACGAGTGTGTACATATTTTACTTAAATTATTTTTTCATTTGTCATTTTCTTCATTATGATGGTTTTTCATATTTTCGTACGTTTTTTTCCATGATTATTATTATTACTTTTTTTTTAACAATTCTAAAGTTATAAACTAAATGTGTATATTTTTAAAATTATGACATTTTTCGTTTTTTCTTTTTTCTTTCTGATAATATTTTTGCTTTATTTTTATTTTCAAGGATAATAGCAAGGATAATAATATGTATATATTATGTATATAAATTTGAATAAAAACAAAAAGCGGAACGGTAACAAAATGAGCAAAACCAAAAAAAAAAACAAATAGAAAAAACAACAGAAACAAAAAAAAAAATTATATGAAAATATGAAATTTACACCGCACCACACCAATTGTTACATAATGTCGTTTTGCTTTTGATATTAAAAACCTTGATTCATTAATCTTTTTATGTTATTTTATTTTTGTAAAAAAACAAAAAAAAAACCAAAACATAACAGAAAAAGAAAATCTTTTTTTATGCTAAAGAATAAAAAATAAGAAAGAGAACAAAAATATAAGAAAAAAAAAAATGTAAAATATGTAACTGTAAAAGAAAAAATCTTTTATACCTCTTAATACCTATGTATATTCCTAAGCTTACTATACTATTAAAAAGCATAATATATATACAATATGAAATTGCGCGCTCTCATCATTTACCCTAGTGTGCTATTATTATAATAATCATTGCCCAAAATTTAAGTACTCAAAGGAATGAACTGCTGAACGCAATGGTCGTATTTTTAATATTTGGAGAGGCAGTAACAACAAAAAAAAAAGAAAAGAATTAAGAACAAAAAAAAAGGGAATAATAATGATAATAAGAAGAAAAAGAGACAGAGAAAGAAGGAAAAATAAAAAAAAAAAAATAAGAAAAAAAAAATTATACATAGCAATTTTTTTATTATTTTGATTACATAGAGAGTATAGGGATTCGTTATAAAGGACCCGAAATATAAAATATATTTCACACATATACATATGAACTATACCAAATGTATAATATAATATATGTATATATATATATATATATATAGATTTTAGAGATAAAGAAAAGGTTTTTACTTACATGAAACACAGGTTGTTTTCATCTCAAAAAAAGTTGAATTTGTAAGTTTAACAAGTTCTAGACAAGTATTGCAACATTTGTAATCAAAAGTTTTTATATTTAAAGAATTTTCATTGACTTTACAGTTTAAAATTGTAGCTAGCTTACTTCTTGAATTTTCAGTTCCTTTAAATATGAATTAATAATTCATTAATTGTTATTGGTTTTAATTATTTAACTGACTGATTGATTAACTGACAATGTTGTTACTGGTGAAATATTTTATCACCTTCCTCGAGCAATGCTTATTATTATTTGAAAAATAATTTTCGCCAAAAAAACGGTGATTTTTGTCTTCCATATATTTTACTATGATTACAAAATTTTGTTCAGCAGCATCAGGAGAGAATATTTTTGCGATTGAGCCAGTATGTACGTCAATTTTAATATTTCTCTTGTTCCTGTTTTGGTTTCACTATCTAACATGTCTATGTCAAATTTGTGGTTCTTGTTGTTGTTGAATTAGTGTAATTTCGTTTCGTTATTTGTTATTTAGTTTCCCATAACATGTAAACTGTATGACTTAATGATAGTATCTTATTTTATATACTGTTTCCAACCTTCCTTCTTTTAAGTTGTTATTTTCATAAGTGAAATGCCAGATAGTTTAATCTATTAACACTTATGAAGAATATAAAATGAGCTGTTAGGAAATTAGAATTTTCACAAAATACCAGCAATTTAATAAAGCTTACTAGTAATTTTCTTGCCTAACTATATTTTTAAGGGAAAATTCCAATTTCTATTTTTATTTTTAAGTATGTTTAATTTCTATTTATATGTTAAGTTTCTAAATAAGTAAATGTGATTTGATGGATTTCAAATCATAATTTAGACATTACTAAAAGTTTCCAAATTTTCTAATTCTTTAGTAAAATTTTGTCAGTTCTCTTTGGCTATAGGAACATCCTGTAATATGTTCTTAAATTACTTTTTTTTTAAAGTATATATATTTTTTTTTTTGGTTATTTTTGTTTTTTATTTTTGAATTTGCTGTCTTTAAGATAAGGAAAAAAAGATATAGGAAAAGATATTAAGTATATATGCTAAGATAAGAAGCGTAGAAAACATAATCAAAAAGAGAAAAGCAAAATATAAAAAAAAAAAAGAAAAGAAAAAGTACCAAAGCACTGTGAGAAATAAAATTTTTTTTAGAATAGCGCCCAAAAAAGAAAGAAAAATAAGAAAAAACGAAGAAAAATCAAACATAACACAAAACCTAATGAAAAACTGAAAATTCACATCATAGAATAGAAAAATATTATAATCACACCAAGTAACTGTATAAAAAAGAAAAAACAAAGTATATAAACACACAACAAAACAAACATTATACTATCATTCATATTCAACATTCACACATAACATAATAGTATACAGTAAAGCAAACATATTTAATATCAACAAGATAGCAATGAAAAAATGTGGGCAAAAATGTGGTGTAATAGGCACACCTATACCTTCTTGTATAAATGTATACATACATTTCTCTATGCTA